GTTACATTGTATTAATTTTTATTTGTATACTGCATTGTTATTTTTTGTGTTGTACTGTTATTTTTGTTGCTGCTTTTTTCTTTCCAAATACTTTCCATTTCTGGCTGGTTGAATCCAGAGATACAGAAAACATGGATACAGAAGGCTGATTATACTTGGCATTTCATGTATTAAACTACCTAGTCATATAATGTGAGACTTAACAAGATATAGAGTCCATATCTGTTTATGCAGAAGCAAATATGTAAATTCTGTTTTTCCTACTTTCAGAATCAGAAGAGTCAGCCCTAAGTTTTTCCATGTTAGCTACTCCAAGTAACTCTCCTTAGACCACAGGGTCTCTGCTCTCTACCAAAAACAAAAACCTTATTTCCAATAAAGGAGTGATGTGACTAGGAAAGAAAAGAGGAACACACAATCTGCCAAGGAAAAATTAAGAGGTAGACAATCAGGTACACTGTGCATATAAACTTGCTTAAAAAAAAAAAAAAAAAGAGTCACACCAGAATTCAGAAATGTTCTACATCATGGGGTGATTCTCTTAAAAACCATTTCTAAAGGGAAAATATTTATGATTCTCTAGTCATCAACAAGAATTGGAATATATATATAAATGTTTAAAAAAAATGAGAATATATAAATTCAGTTGGAAGTTAATTACTGTTCTTATGATTACTAGAATGCAAAATGCTTGTTCACTCTAATTCACTCAGGTCCAAGCAAAGATTAAATCTTGCCTTTGGCTAAGTTCCACAAGCCCAAGTCAATTAAATACATTTTAAAAATGTGGATGAATCCTGTATGAGTAGGCCCAACTAGAGAGCAACAGTGTACTAGGAAGACCAGAGGAAAAAGAGCAAAAGAAAGAAAAACACACAGAAAATAAGAGGTGTATCTAATTTATAAAGACAAAAATAAAAGAATGTTACAATAATAATGTCTTTTATCTTTCGGACTCAACACGACCCACATATCAATTAACTCTACCCCTATATCCCACATCGTATCATCTACAAAAGAAGTGAATAAACTTATTATGCTTTAGCATATAAACAAGGAGGACCTTTTGTTGTATCCTAGTTAGGAGGACATGGGTATACAGAAGAGAAGAGCTGGGCTAACAGAAGCCAGGCTATCACTGTCCACTTTTGGCTTCACCTTTAACCTCCTGAGCACATCTCTATTAAGACCCCTCTGGCCCATCTCACTGCATCTTTGAAACAGAGAAAATAAAATCAACACTCTTCCTTCCATGACCAAAAAAGAGTAAAACAACAGGTGAAGGGAAAGAGGGAATGGCGTTAGGCAGGTGAGTGGTGGCTGGCAAATGACGCTGTGCTGGTATGGGGTGGAGAAGAAACACTAGCAGAGGGGCTATCATCATCCACCAGACAGCTCCAACTAATCTCTGCTCTCTGAGTCACCCTGACACTGTCACTAAATCACCAAGTTAAAAACACAACTTTATCTAACAGTTTTCCTAAGATATCTAAAGTAAAACCCCATTACAAAGAATTCCTTGGTATGTTTGAATGTATGTGTAATGTAATTTTACCTATTTGCAGAGAATAAGACCAATTTTTCTTATTATCACATGCATTACTCACTTATCTAAAAACAGTATGCTTCTTATACACTGTATTACTGAAAATAAAATAACTATTAATTTAAATATTTTCAGTTTCAACCTTTTTATCTCATCCGATAACTGTAGCCACACCTCCTCCACATATCACTATGTCCATTAATTTAAAAAGTGCTCAGAAGCACTTTTATATCAATTTTAGAAAGCTCAAATAAGAATTTCTTTCAGAGACATTTTTTATAGTTAACACTCATCATGTAAGACATTTACTTTAGCAAAGCTAAAATAGATTTTTAATTATATGAAAGTTTCAACACATCACCTGCTCCCTCAATTTCCTGCCAACAAATTCCATGCTCATTCTTTCCCATTATAATAGATAGTGACCTTTTCAAAGTCAATCTCTGCTATAATCCCTGCAAAGCCTTAGTATATTATTATGCCATTTTATTTTCAGCTTCTCTTTCCCACCAATTTTCAAATATTGATGTTTCTCCTTCATAATTCCACATCTGTCCTCGTCATAAGATTTCCCCACCTTACACTTGATAGTTCAACCAACTCCCACCATATCTGTCCCCAAAAGGTCAACTATGACCTCTCTGTTGCTATAAATCCAATATATACATATTTTCAGTCTTCATTTTGCTTGGTATCTCTGCAACAAAGATTTCATTCCTGGTGTAGACAGTTTCCTATACACAACCCTCATATCCTGGCCTACGTTAAGTCCTCCTTGCTCTTCCTTCAGGTCCTCCTTTAGTCTTGATCCCCAAAGGAGAGTTAGATCCAAATGGTTCCACTGTATGCACAACTTCCTTCTCTTTAAAACCTAAATCTACTGGTGCCTACTTTATGTTAAATCCTTGATAGATTATGCTTCTTATGAAACCAGGGATTATACTGATTACACTGTATGTGGCTTATCACCATACTGCCAATTTCAAAGCAAAGTACCTGTCATAAACACTCTGTAAATACATAACCATCTGAATTATTTTCACCCAGTAAACAAGCTGTTATCATATAACAGATTTATCACTGCAAAATGAACTAAATGGATGCTTTGGTTAAAATGGATTTGCTTTTTTCAGGACCTAGAATGGCTTGTTAGAAATTTCTGAATACATTCAACATACTAAAACTAATTCTCTATTTACTTAACCGAGTAAGTGTAAATGACATCATCAAGTTTCTAATAATGACAGTCACTCTTAAAATGGACAAAACTAAAGTATCACTGGTACTACTCAATTAATATCCTAACCAAATAAAAAATGTGTAACTTCAAGCTGGGTGTATTGGCTCATGCCTGTAATACCAGTACTTTGGGAGATGGAGGCTGGCAGATCACTTCAGGTCAGGAGTTATGTGGACACGGTGAAACCCCGTCTCTACTAAAAATACAAAAACTAGCCAGACATGGTGGTGGACACCTGTAATCCCAGCCACTTGGGAGACTGAGGCAGGAGAAGCGCTTGAACTCAGGAGTCAGAACCCAGTGAGCCAAGTTCATGCCACTGCACTCCAACCTGGGCGACAGAGTAAGACTCCATCACAAACAAACAAATGTACAACTTCAATCTGCATGTTTTAAACAAAAAAACAACATAGGGACTTAAATAGCATCTCTGAGAGGAAACAATCTAGCCCTTAGCCTATAACCAGCAAAGATCTATGATATGAGAGAATTTTTTTAAATTAATTCAAACCTATATTAATGTTTTGCTCTACTATACTATTTTTACTTTTCAGGTACTAGCAAACAACATCTATAACAACAGTGAGTCATGCTCACTGAATGCCAGAATCTCCATTCAGGAGAGACAAACGGAACACAATCTGGGATAGGTATAAATTTAACTTGAAACTGGATTTACTTGGCAAATACACTATTTTACTTAGATTGTACATTTATTTGTGATGGCTTTAGAGGAATATTGGAAACTACACCTAGGGATCAGAGCTTCTCCAAGGTACTATCACAAGTAATGCAAATTCTTCATTTTAAGCAAACCAAAATGCTATTAATAAAGTTAGAAATAATACCAAAATATGCAGTAGCTATTTTTCTATTGTACATTTAACAATAAACAAAAGACGTAACATTAAATACAAAATCACTTAAATATTACAAACATGATTATTATATAAATTAAAATTATACTTAAATTTTCCAAAAGACTTCTTATCATGAGGACCCAAATGCTTGAACCATCTGGATCTTAAAAACAAGCTGCAATAATATCCTTAATATTTATAAGCTGGGAAAAATTAAGGAAGAATTCCCAAGAGATGCAATGGAAATATGAACAGATAATTTATTCTTGTCTACAACTCTATAAATATAGAATCATAAAAAAAGCTCATCATCACTGGTCCTTAGAGAAATGCAAATCAAACCACAATGAGATACCATCTCACACCAGTTAGAATGGCAATCATCAAAAAGTCAGGAAAGAACAGATGCTGAAGAGGATGTGAAGAAATAGGAACGCTTTTACACTGTTGATGGGGGTGTAAATTACTTCAATCATTGTGGAAGACAGTGTGGTGAATCCTCAAGGATCTAGAACCAGAAATACCATTTTGACCCAGCAATCTCATTACAGGGTATATACCCAAAGGATTAGAAATCATTCTACTATAAAGACATGTGCACATGTATGTTTATTACAGCACTATTCACAATAGCAAAGGGTTGGAACCAACCCAAATGCCCATCGATCATAGGCTGGATAAAGAAAATGTGGCACATATACACCATGGAATATTATGCAGCCATAGAAAAGGATGAGTTCGTGTCCTTTGCAGGGACATTGATGAAGCTGGAAACCATAAATCTCAGCAAACTAACACAAGAACAGAAAACCAAACACTGCATTTTCTCACTCATAAGTGGGTTTTGAACAATGAGAACACATGGACACCGGGAGGGGAACATCACACACCAGGGTCTTACAGGGAGTAGAGGGATAGGGGAGGGATAGCATTAGGAGAAATACCTAATGCAGATGACGGGTTGATGAATGCAGCAAACCACCATGGCACATGTACACCTATGTAACAAACCTGCACATTCTGAACGTGTATCCCAGAACTTAAAATGTAATAATAAATAAATAGTGTTAAAAATAAATAAATAAACAAGAAAAATAGAAGCAATTCGATTGGAAAAAATACGAAAAATAAGTTTCAGTGAGGTGACCAAAAAAAGCAGGAATGATAACTATCTAATCTTTCACATCTTAAAACCTATTATTTTTCATTTTATTGTACTACCCATATATAAACATGAATGTTAAACTAGAACTAGTACTTTATACTAGCTTTCAATGTTTATTAACATTGTTACACAACTGCTACATAAAAAGCTGACAATAGAATCTGCTTTAAAACTTTTATATGACCTTACCTTATACAACTGTAATGTTTAAAAGTGCTGGCAGCTTTCTGACATTCAAGGCACAATTGAATAGCTCCTGGATAGTCTTCTTCCTTCAAGATAACAACAACAGGAGTCATTAGACTAGAAACATTTTTTCTTAAAGCCCTTGACAAAAACACATCTCTGTTCATATTCTAACCAAAAGTTACAGAATCAAAAAAAAATTAATTCCTCTTAGATTATCAATGATAGATAAATGACAAAATATAAGAGGCAACTATTTCCAGGCCTAAAATATATATATAGAAGAAATATTTAAAATATTCTATTCCCTCAAAGTAACAGCCTTCTGAGACCATGACTTATGAATAAATCTTAAAGCCTTAGCTGCTTTGCAGGAAAGGTTTTCTTTAACTGTTAACATATCTTCTTACAGTAATGCCTATATAAAATGCTCCAGAATAGTTTGCATTCTGTTTGTAATTGATATTCAACAATTTACCACCAAAAAAATAAATAGTTCTAAAGAAGTAAATTTGGAAAAAAACAACATATTAATAACCTCAGAGTATTTTTATCACCTAACAGTAACTTAATGCCAAATGAATTTTTCATATGAGTTTCTGAAACCCTAGTTCGCGGTAATAGTTGAGAAGTAATAAAATAATTATATGGAAAACCACAAAAACTTTTCCCTATGCTCAATTCTAAGTTGAGCAGATGCAATTCAAACCACTGGTGATACTGATAAGGACAAAGTACCTACCCCAAGGAGCTCAGGTATTATGAGGAAACATACATATTACATTATGCTTTGGTGAACCTTATGACAGAAGTAAACAGAAAATGCTAAGAATGCATCAAAGAGAAAACAGATGGCTCTCTCAGAAAAGCAATTAATACATGATACTGAACATAACTACAGTATCACACTTTCCTTTAATTACTACTATTTGTTAGATTAAAAAGATGTTAATTTTTTTTGTTGTTTGGATGCAATACAATCAAATTGTTAACATTCCAGTGTTATTATAAGATAAATGTTTCCCTAAATACATTTGCTTTTCTAAATGAAGTATATACCATGTCAATAGAAAAAGGCTCCAGAGCAAGTATCTTTATGTATCTAAAAATACTTTATATCATATACCAATTTGAGAAAAATGCACTTCTGAATTTTGTCTGCTTTAATGTTTCCATACAATATCACTACAACTTTAAATTTCCAAAACTTGTTAACTTACCTCCAGCATTTCACTTAAGCGTACATCTGTTCTTTGCTGAAAAAACAAAAATCAAAAGTAAAATCTGTTTCAACCACAAAATTCAGTTTTAATATTTTTTAAAATGACCCATATATACCAATGTTTTTATAGTTCTCAGAGATTTCAGAAGTCCAATCAGCAACTGACGTTTCCTTTGATTTGCAAGAAGTCCTAAACTAGCTTGAGTAAAACCTTCTTTTGCAATATTCAAGTGTCTGCAAAAGTGAACAATAAATAGTTAAATGTTTTTTATTATAATAATAATACTATCTGCACAGAACAATTAGGTAACTAATGAAGCAGTGAAATGGATTACATTAAAACCAAGGATTTAAACTACTATTTGACAAATATACTCAATGGCCAGTCTAAACCAACATTACTCAGAACACCGTGAGAAGATTGGTGCCAATTCACAACCTGCTAGTGGTCTATAACAAAAAAGTACAGAAACTGAGAATAACCACTTAAAACACTTTGTGTAAAAGCTGACAGAATAATTATTCTTTGTGACTCTAATAATTTTTAAAAAATCAACACTGTATTATATGTCTTTCCTTCTTTATTTCATTTTATTACTAATTTGTTTTTATTGCATTACTTAAAAATAACAGCCTGTAACAGATTGGAAATTTTAGGAAGAAAAAAATAGGTCCTTCGCCACAAATAGTTTGAGAAGCACTAGTCTAAATAATACAAAAACAGTAATTTTTTTAAACCCATAGGTAGATTTAGAGATATTTCCCACAAACCCTCTTAGCGTAGTCTTTAGATCATAACACATATTTGCTTAATGAATGATATTCTAGAAACCACAGCCATAATTTAAAAAATCAATTATTAATTATAGATTCCATAGTTATTCTTGAAATATTATCCAGCTTAAAGAACAAAATATCATCAAAAGAAATACCTTCTCCCATTTGTACAGATAACAGCAGCTAATTGAAGACCTGTCTGCAATGAGGTAACTCTTTCAAGTTCCTATGGAAAGATTAGGTACAGGTTATTATCAGAGGTATTTTATTTTTCTTTCTTATTTATATAGTACTCTTAACAAAAACTCTAGTCAGTTTCAAAGAAAACCTACTTGAAAAACAAAGTAGCATCAAAAATACCTGAACTTGAAAACTGTTAGTATATTTTTCACAAAATTTTTAAAGTGACTACTTGCAAATGATTTTCACAATGACAGATGACAAAATATTTAGTCAGTATTGCTTGTAAGGAAATCTAGACCCAACTTGTTACGGACAGGAAGAAACAAATACCAGTAACATATCTATTTAAATGTTTCTACCCAAGAGAACGTCACAAGGTAATTAAAGGATATGGACAAATATGATTTCTGTTTACTAAGATGCTTTGACAATGAAAGTCTTCATTTGAACATTGGTAGACATTTCAATGGATTTTGAACGCTCTGATCTCCTAATGAAAACACAGATTCAGTTATACCGTTCCAATTTTATCATATTTTAAAGCCAGATTGTTATATTGCCAATGAGTGGTCAATACTGCTGAATCTGTTTGTCTGTTAATGGGAGTAATTTTCACCGGCTCTTCCAAAGTTTGAAAAACCCAAGAGATCACTTTAGAATCATATATAAAAACCCTTCACTTGTTCAGTTTGATAAATTACCCCAAATGAAAAAGAAAAATATACATACATACACACACGTGCACACACACACACACACACACAGAGTCAATATATTGCTATAGAATTATAGACCAAAAAAATAATTACAATATTTTGACAGCTCCAAATGTAAATCACTCAACCATTTTAAAATTCTGCTATAAAAAATAACAAATATTATCCTACCTTTACATAAGCAGGCTGTTTTTCAAGGATTAAATCTGCTACTTTTTTAGATACCTATAAGAAGATGTAATCAAACAAAGGAAGTAAAAGAACAAGCCTCATGCTTTCTATGACATTTTATATTTGAATTTTTAAAAGAATATTCCATAGATCTCCCCAATAACTTCTAGAGCAGCTACTGGCATACTATGGCCATATACATTTCCCTGGGCTATGAAATTAGTAAAAGAGGTAATATAATAAAGCACATAGCACGGGTTCTGTCCTTAACAGAAACTCGATAAATGATCATTATTGTTGTTAATAATATGAGTCTCATTATCTGATTTACCTAACATTAATCAAAAAATGTAACCATCTTTAAGGGAATAGGACTTTATTGAAAAAGATGAAACTGCTAAGCAGATTTTTAATCAACTGAATTTATGGAGACAATATCTGGAAATAAAACTTGCTTGTACCCTTTAGATCCTTTATGCTGCATAAGAAGACAAGCAAGTAGTTTGGTCCTCTACTTCTGAAAAGCTGAAAACATGTTTTTTGGAATGCTATGAAGATATCTAAGGTTGTGTATAGTATTCTGTGAATAATACTAATATATGCAAGTTAGAAGTATAATGATTTTGAATATGAGGCTCTAATTCCACCATTTCAGGGTACCTGCCATCTTCACTAACAGATACAGCACATGCAGCATGAAGCAGGACACACAGAAGGTATTTAGGGAGTGTATACTCCAGAAACACAATTGGCTCCCCTTCCGCCTTCCCCAGGCCAACTGAGAACAAAACATTGCATGTCCACTATACTAATGCATTAACCCTTTCACATTTTCTTAATCTGCCTCAAGCATCTTTGAAATTATGTAAATTAATTTTTAGATACACTCATAGTTTCTGTCTAGAAAGAGAGATTCCACTAAAGTTAAGAAAATCAAATGTTAAATGGCTTTTAGACTTCAATTAATGAAGAAATATCAATGTTATTCCTAAATATCGTTTTAATAATTCCAAACGTTCCCCAGGATTGTCTAGTAATAGGGTACTGATCCATGGCCTGTGAGGAACCAGGATACACAGCAGGAATTGAGTGGCAGGTGAGCAAGTGAAGCTTTATCTGTATTTACGGCCACTCCCAGTCGCTTGCATTACAGCCTGAGTTGCTCCACCCATCAGATCAGCGATGGCATTAGATTCTCACAGGAGCACTAACCCTATCCCTACTGTAAACTGCGCATACGAGGAATCGAGGTTGTGCACTCCTTATGAGAATCTAATGCCTGATAATCTGTCACTGTCTCCCATCAGATGGGACTATCTAGTTGCAGGAAAACAAGCTAAGGGATCCCACTGATTCTACATTACGCTGAGTTGAATAATTATTTCATTATATATTATAATGGAATAATAATAGAAATAAAGTACACAATAAATGAAATGCACTTGAATCACTCTGAAACCATCCCCATTCAACCCCCCACCAGTCCATGGAAAAACTGTCTTCCACAAGGCTGGTCCCTGGTGCCAAAAGAATTGGTAACTGCTGCTCTAGAGCTCAAATCCCTTCTCCTGCCCAAGACTGCCCTACCCCGCCACTAAGACTTCTGAGTGTAACAGAAAAGTATACCTTCCTTTGTTTGCCAGTTGTATTATTAAAAATCATATCTTAAATTCAAACAGATAAACTTATTCCTACTGGTCCTTTGGTTGAAAAAAATATCACGTGCTACCATTAATTAAGCCCCCTACAGTAGAATCTGAATTTCATAAAGTGGGTTTGGCCTAACATGAAGAAATTATACAATCACAGAAATTTTACAGCATTAAAGAAAATGCAAGCCTAACCTATCACTTTATTGATAAACAAAAGGGAGTAACTGAGGTTAAATGATTTATACAACTTCATAGTTAAATAGTGACTACAACTCAGATTTTCTGAATCTCACAGAGACCTTTATTCTGAGAAAAGGATACTCCATTACAGGACCAGGCATAGTGGCTCTCGCCTGTAATCCCAGTGTTTGGGAAGCTGAGACAGGAGAACTGCTTGAGTCCCAGAGTTCGAGACCAGCCTGGGCAACATAGTGAGACGCCTTCTCTACAAAATATTTAAAAAATAGCCAGATACACTGGCACATGCCTGTAGTCCCAACTACTCAGGAGGCTAAGATGGGAGAATTATCTGAGTCCAGGAGAGAGAGGCTGCAGTGAGCCCTAGCAGTGCCACTGCACTCTAACCCGGGCAACACAAGACCCTGTCTCAAAAGCCAAAAAAGAATACTCAGTTACAAAACTATGGGTAGGGAAATCATGTATGTATGACAAGGAGCCTAAAGGTACCTACTAATCTAAAACGAAGTTCAAAGTTCTTTGATCACATTTAGGATTACAGAGAGAAAATGCCAAGTTCTAGAAGCAAATCTATCAAAGTAACATAAGGAAAACCACAGGCATTAAATTTTAATACAAATGCATCATTTGAATCAGTCATGTTAAACAAGATTTGTTTCTATGTTAATTATTAGTTAAAACCATAAATCTGCAAACATTATCCCTCTCTGTTATGTTTCATCTGCAGTTTTGTCAGTAGAAAACATGGTTTTTTTTACTTACTGCAGCTTGCTGTTGTTTCAATTTGTCTCTGTACTCTTCTAATTCTTGCAAATTGAGAACAGGTGGAAGCTTCTACAGAAAAAAAAATCATGAATGAAGAAGAAAAAATAAATTGTTTAATTTGGTTTCATTTACCTGGACCCTTCTGACTAGTGAACTACAATCTATGCAAACAAAACAGCATCACATCCCACTGCCCTCCATGCTGCCTGTCCTCCCAACCTCCCTCCTAGACTCCAACCACAAAAGTCTACACATCTTTAGCACACAGCCCTCTGGTTCCATCCTTCATCCAGCCTTGTTACTTTCACTGCTGCTGCTCTACCTTCTGGGGACCCGGGGGACTTTGGGGGACCATTGGGGATGCTGGACCCTAAGCTGGCAGACACTGCTGCCATGACCTCTGACAGGAGGATGTGAGAAAGTCCCTAACCCTAACCCCAACTCTACCATCCACAGATACATCCCTATTTGTTTATAATAGAGCTCAAAACAGATTTCTCCTCTGGAATATTACAAACCATAAGTACTACTGTGTGACAGTTGGACAACATTCTGGATTACATCAGCTTTCAGAGAACAGTATCGGAAACGAACCAAAATATGCATACCATTGTGTATACAGGGAAACATTCTCAGTCAATTGACTGATGAAACATCAAACTGAGTTGGGAACTGACTAGCTGTATGTAATGCATATAGCATTTGGTTGTATCTTAAACTAAATTTCACTCTTCTGGCTTTTGTTAAAGTTCCCATAAATTTAAAATGTCAGTATTATAAACATTATGGCATAAGAATCTTTATTATGACTAAACAATTATGTAAATACACATTTCATAATTAAAAGTCTGAGCTTCCCTACACATAAACAATATATAAAATAGGATAGAAACAGCATACTAATGCATTGGTGCTAAAAATTAAAAACCAAAAATACAGAAATGTTTCCCTGACCAATATTCTACAGTTGTACTTAAAGTTACATTAAAAAAAATAATTTCATCGTCAAACAATGCTGACAGTTGATTTAATCACAATGTGGTAATCACAGACCTATTTTGGTACCAAAAATATATAAATGCCTCAAAAAAGCACTCAAATCTCACAAATTCAATCACTGAACAAAATAGGCCTTAGATACATTTTAATGAAATTCTTTTTACCTCCAGCTCATATTTAACAATATCAAATGAATCCGCAGAAAAATACACTTGTTCAATACTATTAATAAGCTCTTGTTCAGCTTGAGGGTCACTTGGCTGTTCTCGAAGTTCCCTGAATTCTTCCTTTAAGGAAAAAAAAAATACAATTATAGTACTTGTAGCTTTTAAAATTCCATCTGCATGGAAATAAATGATCATTTGTCTTAACAGTCACATATGTACCTGGAACAATTCTGACCAAGGATGCAAACCAACAGAAACCAGAAAAGTTCACAGGAAATTAGGAAATAGCCAAACACTAACACTAACAATAAGAGAAAAAAACTAGCCAGTTTGAATATCCAGATTTTATTCTCAATTCCTTGTCTGTCAACAAGGTTGATAAAAATTTAAATATTCAGCAACGAAAAAGTGACTACCTAAACCTATCATACATACATATCACAGATATACACTTACTATTTAACAATATTCTAAAATCTGTCTCACCCACCAGATAATAAGGGAAGAACACCTCAATAACTTCTGGGTCACAATCAACTTTAGAGCCCTAAGCAGAAGACACAAACTCTGCTAAAAAATCTCAGTACTAGGCTCTCCAGAAAAGGTTCACAAATTTAGTTCTGTAACTCTCTGAGGCTTCCTTCAAAGTGGATTGCTGCTACAATTAATGATCTGATAATGAACATAAACTTCTGTATTTGATAAAATGCTTTATTTCTAATGATACAGAACAGAGCTTCTGTGGATTTGAAAAAGAGCTTGACAGACAAACCCCTGTTCCCAGTGTCAGCATCCTTATCCTATGCAATTTCACTGCATAACGAGATAAAGCTTCAGTTAACAAGTAAATTTTACAATTCAGATACCCACTCCCCTGCCACATTAATCAAGACATTATTATAGTCATACAACAAGTTAGCCATTTGGTTTATAAATTAAAATTAACCTCAAATACATTTATATACACAAAAGGAACTATTATTTTAAATCATTTTACAGTAATTAAAAGAACACAATAAAAATATTAAGGAAATACACAAAAATTATCTGGTCAATTAAAGAACAGTATATTTTTCAGACACATTCTAGATTATTTTATTGCAGGGCATATCTTTTATTCCAAAAAAAAAAAATCTTTGCTCAGTTATCTTTTAGAGGTTACCTTACATTTTGTATTTGTAAAATTAACTATAAAAGTATTCCCTATTAGTAAGTTCAAGGTAAAGAAAATTAGAACAAATCTAAAATTCAAGAAAATCGTTGGCTGTTTAAATTTAAAATTCCAATAAACTTAAAAGAGGAGGCAAACTCATAAATATCAAACCTGAATAATCAAAAATGCTGGAAAGGAAAATCCTTCTTCTGTATTAACTCATAAAATACACAGAAAAAAAGGTCAAAGATATAGCCATCACTGAGTCAGCCTGCAATTAGCTACTATGAGTGCAGTAAGAAATCCAAGGTCCCAACAGTGGGAGCTACCTCCCTGAAGGGGTTTATCTACAACACATGAATCCATTTAGCACCCTGAACAGTGGTGCTGCCACACAGACTTTGTTAAAACTCACACTCGTGCAAGGGAAGGTTCCCAACTAGCCTATCAACAGGCAACCTCTATGTATCCAGCGGAAATATGAAATAACAGTAAGAAATGAGATGGAAGAGGAGGTCTGAACTTCCTGGCAATCTCTTTCCCTAAATGTCCACAGGCTTTTGAAATACCAGCTTCAAATGCTGCAAGTTGAGGGAGGGGAGGAAATGAGGCCCAAGTGACAACATGGCAACATTGCCTCCCGAGGAATTCTGCAGTAACATGAGCAAATAAATGCAGTTGATACTGTTCAAGAAAAAATGTTTGAAGATCATAAAAACTGCTAAGATTTTTTTTAATCAGATAGAGAGCCAAGCCAGAAATTCAAATAGACTGCAATGATTAAGTACTTTCACCTTAAAAGCATAAAGGTCAGTGACATATAACACCATGCTGAGGTTCTCAATACAGTACCTAATTGATTGATAAGAAGTTAAAGATACTTGGATTTTAGCTGCAATTCCACTATTAACCCTCGGCAACTTAGTCTCTTCATGCCTAGTTTTTTTCACCCGTAACGGACAAACATACATGCTTGCGCTCTCTCACTCTCTCGCTCTCACTCTCCCTCTTGCTCGCTGGCTCTCTCACCCCCTGCTTCCCTTTCAAAATGACAGTAAAACAAATATACAAAGTTATTAAGAATGCCAAAGAAAAAACATAATTTAAAGTATCTCACAAGTGTATATTTCCAAAACATGATGAATCTGTAAAAAGAATACAATGTGTATATGTATATCAAATGCTATTCTTTCCTAAAAAACTGAGCAATTAATATCACAGAGAGCATACAACCCCATATAATTTCAAAGAACTGACAGTGGAACACTTGACACTCTAAAGTGTACTAAACCTGGCCTAAGGAAAGGAATAAAACCTAGAAAAGCAGGAAAAAAAAATGTAGCATACAAAATAGAATTAAACCCAAAACAAATGTCCCCATGTAACATTATTTCCCCATAAAATATCCTCTCCTTTAAAACAATTACATAGCTTCTATGTGAAAATATACATATGACCTGGAACTTATTCAAATCCCCTTCTGCAATCCCGATTCCTGTGTTCTTTTCAATCCCATTGCACCAGCAGCTTGTAAAGCTCTGCTTCTACCTAATCTTTCTCTAAATGTTTCGTTGCTCTTAAGACTGCCTGCTCAATCAGACTGTACACTTCTTGAAAACTCAGACTTCTCTTCATTCCCCATCATGCTGCTCCACAGTGCCAAGGGACACTGCAGATAATAATTACTATTACTGATCAAACTAAAATTAATTTACAATTAATTCCCAAAAAAATGAATATGAGACAAAAGGAAAGGAAAAGACCATATGTTCTTGTTTTGATAGTCAAAATTTTCCACAAACTCTTGGTAAAACATTTCTTTCTTTTAATTAGAGATAACAATAAATGTGAACTGATTTAGGAATATTTTATACACATAAATTAGAAAAATAAACAGAAGCAACCAGATTGCATATTCTTAACACAATTACTCAATAATTTAATAGAAACTGATTCCCTAGGGTGGGAGACACAAAAATACATAATTCTTCACCTAAAACAGAACCAAAGTGGCAAGCCAATACAGAAGTATGAGGCCAAATTTTACACAACCAAAATGAACAAGAGGTTTCCTATAAAAAAAATTACAAGGCAAAATTGGGGGAAATGAATACCAAATGAAACTTCTTATACCATATTTAAACACATGATTTAAGAAAAAAGTTATAATAATATTAGATATTCAAGCTAAATCTGGGATAAAATATTTCAACCTTAAAATGCTTAAAATAATTTATTTTTACAATAAAATTTGTGTCACATAGTAAGTAACAAATACATAGTAACATTAACGGTGACATTAAATGCTCTCTAAAACTTGAAAATCCAAAAATAATTTGTCAGCAACTAGTCTACCAAATGTGCCACACAACTTACTGTCAATGGTAGTCAACTAAGGAAAAAGTATATCAGCGTCACCCCAGAATTAAAGCTGGAGAAAAAAACTACAATTAAAGTAATGAACTGGAGTAACAGAGAAGAGGAAACAAAAGCATAAAAGGCAAAAATGAACAAATCAAATCTCTCTCCCATACTATCCTTACAAACTAACCTGCCTACTTTCAAAGCTCTGTAACCTTATCTTTCCCAAAAAATAATTCCATTTAAGAAATAGTTTTTAAAATTCCCGCTATGTAAAAATTTCCCATACTAGGTCATACAGGTAACAAAAATGAATAAAATATAGCTTTTCCCTCAAACAGGTGTTAAAGTAATAGGAGAGGTCGGATAAATAAGTAAGCAATAACAATGCATGGCAGAGCATAAGGGTGATGCAAACAGAATGAAGGCATTAGATGGTGAGTTCACATCTGATGGAAGAGGTGGCATTTGGCAAATAAGAGAGAATAGGTAAAATTTCAAATTTAGAAATTTGGGGAACAGGGTTACAAATATAAAGCAAAGCAAAAGTAAGAATATTGTATCGGGAAAGTGTACAACAGGTTAAAGCAATAAAGGGTGGCTTCCACAGGATAGAAAAATGTCACAAGGGAGAGGCTGCATGTATGCCAAGAGACAATAAGATGCAACAACTGAGATTTGTTTGAATTCATTTTTTAAAAAATATTAGAACCATATTTTCTTCACTAAAAATAAATCATCTTAACACATATCACTGTCCCAGGTGCTATATCGAAAACAGGCATAAATATTCAAAATTTTCTTAATGTAATAAACCAAGCAGGATTCAATGTTTTAGAGGCATTTTTCCAGCAGTTACAACACGCTATAAGGTTGCATATAATACCACCTAGCCTGTTTTTCTATTTTGATCATGTCTGAGATAAAGCTACATGAGCATGCACATAAATGTACATCATGAATGTATGAAAAATGAAGAAAAAAATCATATTAGAGATTTAAGTCAACATCTTTGATTTAGCCAAGCTACTTTTCCTTTCAAAATAACAAAAAAAGGTTTTATGAGAATTTGGGATTCAGGTCTATAAAATAATTTGAGCCCTCAAATGTAAGGTATTATAATACATTTCCAGTATGTTTACGGTTTGTAAGGAACTATACTATAACTTTACCGGCAATTTCCCATTTAAGAGTTCATCACTCAAGGGAATTTATTCAAATTTAGTAGGGAATTTTTTGTATTTAACTACTAATTTTGTATTTAACTACTACTTTTAAATTATTCAAAATACCACACTAATTAAAAATACTAACCCAAATTCAGGGCTCTTAATTCTACTCACTTTTATTAAAAAGTTATGACAGCTTAACGGTTTTCTTTACCATTATTAAACTTAACTCTGCAATTTTTGAAAAGTAATTTAACCTAATTTTTAAACCTATATAACCTATATATGAGTTTGGAATCTCATAATCTTGAGTACTAGGTTTTTATTCAAACAAAAGTATGAATGCAAATCTTCATTTCATAGGTCACATTTCAAAACTCTGCAAAAAAATGTATATAATAAAAAATGAAATGCATACCAACTACCCTTTCTGTACT